TATATGATCTTTTGAAATAGTTTCCGAGCTAAATTCATTCTCAATAACTTCATTAATCTTGTTAACGTTTATTTCTTTACATTCAATATTAATACATATTTTAATGAATTTTATAAAGCATATTAAAAAGTGTATATAAAATTCTTGTTGGAAAATTCCGGCAAAAAGCCAACCGTTGTCTAAAGCCTTAATTTTCAAATTTCCGACATGTTTATCGATTACGACAAAAACTTTCCAATTGAAAAATGTCCGTCAAAACTCCAATCAAAACCTCATTATTGACATTGATGGCGGCTTACAATCGTTAGCCTGTTGTTGTTGCTGTTGTTGTTGTTGTTGTTTTTCTTGTTATTGTTATTGTTGTTGCTGCCAGGGGACAAAGGGCCCCTTCGATCCCCCTTTTTGTCCCTTTGCCACTCCCGTTTTTCTATCATCGTTGTTGGTTACATAAATTTTGCATTGTTGTTGCTGTTGCCGCGCAGTGTGTAATTAATTATTCAAAAACAATTAACTTTGCCAGCCGGCACACCTACACACCTACACGCACACAGATAGACATATGTACGTACAAGCTATAGCACACCAGTACACATACATACATATACTAGCACACATCGAGGACAGGCATTAGAAAGCACAGTTAGAATGCATAAAATATGCGGCGTTTGGATGTGTGTAAAGGTATGCATGTTGCCATATTGTTTGCATATAGAGAGAGTCTATTCGCTGAAATAAACCGTCGTTTTTCCTCCCTCCCTTTTTCCCCCCGCACTTTCGCCCACCGGAGAAAGTTAGCCGAAAAACTCCCGAAAATTTGTTTAAATTTCAATTAAAATAGTTCCACGCCAAACACGTTTGTTATTTTAAATAGCGAGCACATTAATGGTTTAAATTTCAGAATGAAATTATTAGAAAATAATAGTAATTAAACAAAAATAGGGCTAATCATGTTATATTAATTTACTAAGAAAGAATATCTAAATTAGAACAATTGCACGATTAATTAGCAATATTCACAGCAGCTTTAGACAACCCGGATTGCCTACTAATCGAAAATAATTTGTTCTCTGCAGAACGTTTAAGGATTTCATCCCAAATTCTCTTCTTCAACAGTTTGCCAACTTATTTATTTATTAAACATGCTTCGTTATTGTGTTTGACTGGCTTTCGATTTTGTGGTATGAAATGGAAGCTGTAATGCGATTCCAAGTATTTATTTATTATTACAACGTTTTGCGTGATCTGTCATTGAAGGGGGATTGCAAATTGATTCGTTCCATTGAAACATATATGAAAACCGACTTGGAGTCGAAGGCCGATTTGCCTGTCAATTAGAAGGGAATTAAAATCGGCATATGCGGAAAATTGATTGGAAAATTGGTAAAAACTGCAAAAATAGTTTTCGTTTCTATTTAAAATTGCATGGTCATGCGGCTGATGTCTGTTGAAAAAAAAAATATTAATACCCAAATGTTTTGACTTCTTTACTTGTTTGCTGTCATAATGGAATTGTTATCGATCCAAATACTTTATTTATTTAAATTAAATGCAGCAAACTACTAAATTCAAAGCATTGACAGGTGTTTTTCCAAAATGACAAATAAAACAAAACAAACTGCAGAGCCAGAAAAAAGTATTAAAAACGGAAATTTTCCATTTAGATGCGCAGCACATTCGTAAATGTGAAAAAAACCAGGCCAACAAAAACCGAAAATATTTCGTAAAGAATTTATGAGCCACACAAATTAAGTGAACTTTGTGCAACATTTGGAAAAATCCCACTCGCCTAAAAGCTACAACAAATAAACTAATAAATAGGAAACTTAATCTCTGGCCAAAATTGAAAAGGAGAATTTTTAAAACGAGTTTTCATTTTACGCCGTTGGTTTCCTGGAATTTCCGTTTGACTAGGGCTTAATTGGTTGGGATTTGAATGTTTTGCAATTAAAGACGTAAATGAATCGTTTAAAATACTAAGAAAATCGAAAAGCAATGGGGTAAATAAACTTCTAGCCAAAGCAAACTTTAACTGCTAATGAAAAACTTGATTCTGTAAGAAATAATCAACTATATTTTTTGCCAGCAGCAAAGGCTTGAGAAACTAAACTTACAACTAATGGTGGGAATAAATAAATACTTGTTGGCTTTATTTTTATATTAATAATTTGTTTATTTTATCGCTTGATGATAGCTATAACCAGTTATTTTAGCATTTAAAGCTCGAATAATTAATTGACTCCATTGTGTATACATTTTTTACTGTTTTAATAAGCGCATCCAATTGGTTTTGCAACAAAATTGCAAAATATGACAAGATTTCGTCGTGCTTATCTACATTTGATCTGTACATTCTTCTCATAGTTCCGTATAGAATATCTAGCAGAGTGGACCGCTAACTGTCGAGAGTGCTTTTAACAATCACTCATACGCAATGTTGTCACTAGTTAAATATTTCACCCAAGGGCTGCGTTTATTTGGTTGTACAAACACTCTTCGTTTTAAACCTATTGTTTTAATGTTTTTAAACCACCAAGGTATTCTCTTTCAAAAGCGTAATATTACATTACTTGAATTTGCTATTTCACTAGCTTTTTTCGGTCCACTCTATTGTCTCCCAATCCCCCCAAGTCTCCACGTCTCTTTCGCGCTCTCCAAAGACAGACAGTGCACATGCACTGAGAGCAACGATTGTGTGTCTGTCTGTCTGCTGTTGTAATTGTTGTTGCTGTCATTGTTGCCCTTGTTGCTGTTGTTACTGTTGTTGTTGCTGCTCGAAACGGTGATCGCCGGTGCCTGGCACCAAATGCTGCACATCGGTGCGAGCGAGACAGTGAGCCAAAATGAAAATAAATAAATGAAAGAAGGAAATACACAGCAAGGCAACAACAAAACGGCGACACACACACAAAGGAGCAATAAAGAAATCAACAACAAAAAAAGACAACGAGTGTGGAGAGCAACAACAACAAAAATGGCTTAAAGCTGAAAAATACCTTTGCTGAAAAGAGACGGTAGATCAGCGGGTGGGGAGGGGAGGCCATGGTAAAATAAATAAAAAAAAAAAGAGAATAACAAAAATCAAAAAACGACCGGCTGACCTATGATGTTATTACCGGCATTCAAAAACCCTCTCTCTTTCACACAGCGATCTTCTTTCTCACTCTCTCACTCTGCGAAGCGAGACGAAAGAAGAAGAGATTGCAACGAAAACAAAAAACACTGAATCATGATGTTAAAAACAAGTAATATCGGTGATGTTAACCTAGCTGATATTGAGATATATCATATATTTTATTTCAAAACAAAATTGCAAAGCAATTACCAAGTTCACAATTTTTTGGTACGGGATTTTATTAGGTTTCGCCATTTGGGAACTTCATTTAAAATTAATGAGTTAGAAATCATGTGAGAAAAATTTTTTTTTGGGCTCTGTTAATTTTAATAGATTTTACTATAACCATTCCCTTATAATTGGAAAAATAATAATAGAGGGAGTTGACTATTTCAAATACAAATTTGTTTAAAATTTTTAAAGTAACCAATTGTAACCCTTAGTTGGCCACAACAACAATTAGAGCCGGCCGGCTAGCTAGAGAAAAAAAAATATATATGAGGCAGCCAAGCATGAGGCAGCGAATGAAAATGCAAACTGCGTTCGGAGATTGCAGTTTGAACTGGTTTTCACCTGAGCTTGTCAACTTGGTGGGAGGAAACAAGAGGTAGGGAGAGGGGGAAAGGGGAGAAGGGACGCGAAGTGCCGCTAGATTTACCTAGAAATTGACTGGGATTTTAGATCGCCTTGACGACCGAGATCGGGGGAGACCGGAATACACCAATGAGCATATTTATTGACATTGCCATGCAATTTAAATGGCCGCGACAGTTGCGCATTGAACATTTGCCAAACCTCTGGGCGAAAGTTGATAGCTGCGGTCAAAATAATAGGAGCAAGAAAGCACAGAAAAAAATTGTATATCAAATTTAACAAGGTGTACCACTCATAAATCGGGCATCATTAAAATGATAAACATCGATACAAAAATGGAAAATAAACTAATGATGCAGCTTGGTTTATATTTTAATAAAAAAGAGGTATGAATGACACTTCTAAATCGGATAAAAATTAGAAAAGTTATGGGCCAAGAAGTGCTGGTATCTGCTGACTTTTCTGCAAACCGATTTTTTGCAAATTTTAAAGGGGGAGGGACATCATAAAAATTTGTTGCCAATTTAAACTAATATTTTGTAACCATCTGTTCTATTTGATTTCTTGCAGTCTTCGTTAGCGAGTGTTTGTGTTTGGTGGCAAAGATTGCCAAGAGCCTTTTGGGTTGGTCAAAGTATTAGCAAAGTTATTTGCCCGCAACGGGGCAAGCGACCGCAACAGCAGCAACATCAGGCGGCGGCGGCAGCAGCAACAACAACAACAGCAGCAAAAGCAGCAGCAACAAAAGGCAACTGCAACACACACTGCAATTAACTTTGCGGTCAACAGCCACCCACTGGCCAGCTGCCTTTGTGTGAGTGACTTGCCAGTGGATTGTTGAGTGTGTTTGTGAGTGGAAAGAAGAAGCAGCATCGGTGGCAGTGGCTTTGGATACTGATGCTGCGGTTGCCGCTGATGTTGCTGCTGTTGCTGTTGCTGTTGCTGTTGCTGCTGCTGCAGCTGATGTTGCTACTGCAGCTGATGTTGCTGCCGTCGTCTGTGATTAAAGGCCAAATGACAACAGCAACAAGCGGCTGAAAACTAGCTGCAGCTGCAATTTCGCAGGATAAACGAATATCAAATGCGTGTGAAAGGGAGATTTTCGTAATTACAGTTTAAATATTCTCGGAAAACATGTAATCTAAAATGTAAATCATTTTCTAACCTACTTCACTTCGAAAATCATTAGTTAAATGGGGGTTAACTGAACAAATCAACTACCTTAATTATTAAAGTGCTCAAAACTTTCAATAAACTCTTGCATTCATCTTAATTTCGGAGTATTCCTGACTACCTCCAACTTATAGGGTATCATGCTGTCCACCGATAATGTCGTCAACTGCATTGCCGTCGCTTGCAACGCGTTGCATTGCATTTCATTGCATTGAAATGGGTGTCACTCTGTAACTAGCACATTCGCGATGATGATAATGCATAATCATAATGATGATGACGATGGCGATCATGGGGCTGATTATGATGATTACGATTATGATGATGAGGCAAGCGACTCCTTCAATCTGCGGCATTCTCTCGCTGGCTCGTCATCAACAGCAGCAGCAACAGCAGCAACATCACCATCAACGGCAGCAACAGCAACATCGGCGTCATATTGAAACTGGAATTTGAATCCGGTTGTCGGCTGTTATGAGGCCCTCATCCCCCTACCCCTACCCCTACCCCTCCCCCTCCCCCAGCCCCATCCACTTTACAAAGCACCCCCCTGCCGTCGCTTTGTAGTTGAAAATTTTGTTTGTGCCATGTTTATTAAATGCCATTAAAGCCATTTCTTCAGCCTTTGGCTTTTGCTCTTTGAAAGGGAGAACTGCAGGGGGTTTTTCGGGGGCCCCGGGACACACGGAAGTGTGCGTCACACTGTGGGAGAGTTGCATTGTCAGCAGCAGCAGCAGCAGCAGCAACAGCAGCAGCAGCACAGCTCAAATGTCAAAAGGTACATCAGCAACAAGAACGACACGAGCAACATCAGCAGCAGCAACAGCAACAGCAACAGCAACAACTAAAGCAACAGCAACATCAGCAGGCGAGCGCAATCAGCAAAATGCATTAAATGACTTTGTATTGCAATTGCTCGCTCTTTGATATATCTTTGATGTATATATACGAGATATATGGTTGGGAATACAACGGAATCTCAGCTTTATCGAGGGAAAGAGAAAAGTCGAGAAAAGTGAAAGAATCGAGAGGAGCTAACTGTGGCATGAATGGGAAGTGATATCTGTCACATGAATTAAACTTGAAAACGGAATTAAGACAACGGAAGCCAAATCGTAATTCGCTTTGAAACACATGTTTGAATTTAAATGATAAATATTTTATTTAATTTGAATGTACTACTTTAATGCCATTGCCGCATTAATCGATTTGGTAAACACTAAATCATAAAACGTAAACTGACAACTGGCTGACAGGCGGCTGAAAAATGTTTTGTTACTTTAAACGGATTACCTTGTGAATTGCATGACATTCGTTTAATCCCATTGGGCTTCTACTTATTCCGCTTTAAAGAGACATTACGGTTAGGCTTAAAATAACAAGCTCGGACACCTAGAAACACTCCTCGCTTTTCCAAGGCTTTCACAACTCATTTTCCTTCTCATTTTTCATTTGCTTTAATAAGCAATTTGATCGCTTGTCTTGACATTTACTGTTTACACATTTCTCCTTCTCTTTTTCTTTTTCTTTTTTTGTTTTTTTGTTTGTGTGCTCTACACACAGTAAATACTCGCAGTTGCCCATGAAAGACTGTGTCCAGTTTCCCTAACCCCCACCCACTGCGGCTCCCCCTTCCCCATCGACCTGCATCAAGGGCAGAAAATCTGAAAATCTGTGGCGAACATTAAAACGTTTCACTTAATTAAAATCAACGGCAAGAGGAACGGCAACAACAACGACTGGAAAATGACCGCCCCCATAAATAAAGTATGGTATTCCGTATACAGGCGCTAATAGCCTGATGTGTGTTCGTGTGAGAGAGCTTAAAAAAAAACCAACAACAACAACAATAACAAAAAAAAAAAAAAAACAAAATAATAAGAATTCAGAGCACTACCAAAGACGTGGCTCGAGGAGAGGTTCCAGCATTTTTTCTACTTTGTGTGACTAACGACTTGAAATTGCGCTTATTAAGACTTCCTGATTCATAATTTCTGGCAGCACTAGCAGCAACAGCCACAAAAGAAGCAATAACAACTATGCACAAGTGCCAGATCGACGGGGCAACGAACTGTTGATACCCTGTACTTTTAACTAAATATGTATAATAAAAGAACAATTAAGTTTTGATACACTTGTGGTACTTTTACAGTTTAGTATCCAGAAATACAACAATTTTAGTCACGTTTTGCATAAGTGGTAATAAAAATCAGTAAGTATAAGCAACCTATTTGGGTACCTAGTTTTTTTTACAGAAGTTTCTTATATAGCATTAAATGCCAAATTCCTTTATTATGTCAATATTTTACCCCAATACCCTGTATTTTAGCCAGGCTTTGGCCAAACCCCAAGTCGACCGACTTGGCGCGAAGAATTTGAGGGGAATGTGGTGAGGGATTTGGTTTTCTCTCCCACTCTTCACTCTCCTCTTGGTTTTTTCCCCAGCTCTTGCTTCACCTTATTTTTTTTTTTTGCAATTTTGTTTTTGTTGTCTTGCTTTTGTTTTCGGTCTGTAACGATTTTTGTAATTTTATTAATTTTTTGTTTTGCCCTGTCCAAGCTCAACTGAATCTCAGTGTGGTTTATATATATTGTACTATATATGTATGTATACATATGAACAAATGTATGAACATAAGGTTTGGATTTTGTGGGCTGACTTGACTGCTTTCTTTCGATTGTCTTCCCGGGGTTTCCCCGCCCCCTTGTGGCGTTCATAATTTTTGTAGCAATCGAGGGGATGGGGATGAAATGTTGGTCATGCTGCGGGCAAGATTTTCAAGTGACACGAGCAGTTACCGCTACTCACTTGCCACAACCACAGATACACAGACACACACACACACACACACAGCCTTACACACACACAGAAAAATACACACACAGGCAAACAGAAACGCTTTGTGCATTAATTTGCTGGTGTGAAGTGCTAATCAATATATGGAGGCAGCAAATTAAGGAAATGCAATTTCCACAAAGAGCGAGCGGGGGTGGAAAAAGTCACAAAGTCCCCCTAATTTATAAGTCAAACATGCTGGGGAATTTGAGAGGAATGTTCCCGAGTCAAAAGCAAGGGGATCATTGACATTTTAGATGAGCCAAGGAATGAGCTGGGTAAATGTTTGGAATTTTAAATTGAGCTACTTGACTACTTGACGGATTTATAAATGATTAATATCTGTAATATATACAACATCTTTGCTAAATGAGAAGCAGCTGTTGCAATGGCTAACCGAAATCTTTATATTTAATGATGCTTATTAAATAAACCATATATAAATATAGAATAAAATGGTAATCAAGTCCTAGCTTATAATGTTTTTTACTAGATATTTCCCTGATTTTAATTTATAATATATATTTATAAACAAAATATATTTTTGGAAATTTTAATTTAGAAACTCACCTGGGGATCCATGGCGATTGCGTGGTCCTTCGGTGCGCACGGCGAGCAGGGTTTCCAGGTTGCTGAGTGCCACGAGGGCCATTAGCAGCAGCGCCAGGGTTGTCAACTGGCCGCGCTGGCGGTGGTGGTGCTGTGGTTGCTGCTGCTCTCGCTGCAGCCTCGCCGCAATACTGCACTGTTGTTGTTGTTGTTGTTGCTGTGGATGGCGAGGGTTGTCGCCGCCGAGGGGCAAGGTGGGTGCCGTCACCTCTGTGACCTGCAGCAGCGGATCGGAGGCGGGGCGGTTAGGGTTGTCGCCTTCGGCGGGGTCAGGGGTCAGCAGGGCTGTCGCCGGTGGCCGCCAGCGGGAACGCATTCTGGCCTTGTTGGGCGGCTTGCGACCAAATCCGAATCCAATGCCCACGGGCGTCGGATTCATTTTTGGTTTGTTCGGTCGCTTCGCTGGCTTCTCCGCTCCTTGTCCTTTATTTCGAAGTCCTCGATGGCGATCTCAATATTCGGTGACCCTGTCTGGTGACCTCCTCTTCACTGCCCACCGCTCTTCTGGCTTCTTAAGATTTCTCTCTCTGCTGGCTTTCTTCACTATACTTGTTGTATTTGTATTTTTATTTTTGGTGGGCTGCTTTAATGAAATAAGCGGAATAATTAACGCGTTTAATATTTTCAATTTATAATTTTTTTTTTTTTTTGGGGGGGGGCGTGGCCGCGGGAGGAGCACTTGAAAGACCAATTAATTAAATTTAATTTTCCTCCCCTCGTCGGCCCGTTCGTCTTATTCCGTTTGCTCTTTTGCCTGCTAAACTTTTTTACTTATTAAAGATAATTGCTGGCTGTCTCGCTCGCACTCTAGTCCTCTCTCGCTCACTCTCTCGCGTTGGCCCTATCTTTTTAACACTTTTTACAATAATTGAAAAACTTTTTTCGGCTGCTTTATGTGAACTTTTGCCTTCGGCGTCTTTGAACTTTTCTCCTTTCCCCGCGATTTTCTTTTGCGTATTTATTTTTTTTTTTTTAATTTTTTTTGTGCTTCTCGTCGGTTGTTGTATTTCAGACACTTGAAAAATAAAAATTAATATGGTGTGAGGGAGATGGAGATGGCATATTGTCGGCTGTTGTTGTTGTTTTTTTTGCTGGATCTTTCGTTTGATAAGGAAATTGCATATCCCATGAAGTTTTCACTGCGCTCTTTGCACTGCAATCCTGCAAGAAGAAAATGGAGAGGAAAAGAAGTTAGCAAAATGTTTATCCAGAATATTTTTCAATTATTAAAAGAAGTACGATTAGTTGGTGGAAAGTTTTCAATCAAGAATTTGCATTAGTATTCAACATTTCACCGGAAGTATGTCTGTCTTACAAGATTTGAATGCTTCCTTCAATGATTTAATCTACCATTATGCAACTCTTTTTTAATATTTCCACTGCTCACCCACCTTCCATTATCTTTTAATACAATTTGAAGTCTGAGACTTGGAATCAAGTGGCATTACGGCATCGAAAGCGAAAGAGGAGAGTGGAGACTGGAGACTGGTGAGAGGTGAGTGGAGAGAGGAGAGAGGAGAGAGGAAAGAAGAAAGCGACGAGGAAACGGAGAAGAAAATAGAACATTGAGCAGATTACATTAAATTAAAGCACAAATGAATTGCTCGACGAAGCGAAAACGAGGAGAAAGAAGAAAGATGACTGAAAAACGTGGATGCGAAATAAATAAGAAGTAAAGTATTAAAAAAATGAGCAACAATCAAATACAATAGCTTGCGGAGATCATAATATGGAGGAATTGGTTGGTCCGGGGAGTTGGGATGCCGACACATACAAACATACAAGTGGAAAATCACGCACATCGTCTCCGAGCAGGGTGAAAAAGGAAATCCAGGGGGATCCGAGGGGGATGGAGGGGGTTTTGGGGGCTGCGTTAGGGGGTAGGCGACACAATAACAATAAGTGGGTGGTTCGTTCGGTGGGTGGTTCGGCGGTGGGTGAACCGCAGTGGGTGGCTCATGCGGTTAGGTCAGATTGAGGAGTAGGCCCGACGATGCCAACGAGTCAACAAAAGAAATTGCTAATGTGCGCAAATAAAAATGGCACAAAAAAAGTATACACACACACACACACACACAGAGACTCGGAGAATAACAGACACACACACATGCACAGCCAATGTTAGACAATTGAAATTGAAAATCAGTGAAACCTGTTTTCACACACAAAAGCTCACGCACGCCAAGCTAAGGCGCACAAAATTGCAATAAAAAATGCAGGAAAAAACAAAACAAAAAAACCGAAATGAGAAAATGGCAAATAGAAAATGGAAAACAAAAGAGGGAAACCCAATTCAAAGACACAAAGCAAAAGTTAGGGTCAAAGATGAAATGCACTCAAAGCGGAGAAAAAAAGGCAGGAAAACCTTATATAAATTGTCAACCACTAACAGGAATTTTAATAAGCCGGAAAAATGTTAAGATATTTTTCTAACGAATACCTGTGGCATTCACAACAAAGCTTTCACTTGTGATATAAAATTATTATACAAGAAAATAACTTATATTAAGCTTATAAATCAAAATCTTACAATCGTATTTTAAGTTCAATTTTGAAGTACAAAATATCAAATTTTTTGATATTGCGACTGGTATTACTATTTCCAGCATTTCCTCCGGGTATGTAGAAAAATCACTTGCATTTGGCATTCGTCGTGCAAATCGGTGGAAAATGCATGGAATTTTTCCAAAGAAAACCCAAAACAGCCCATGGGCGGTGGGCCATCATCAGCGTGAGAGCATTTAGCCCATGGACCCATCGTCATCTGCGACATTTCGCGGAGCAAATGAAAAGTTACGCGAATCAGCGGCAGCCGCAGGGAGCCGCTTGTGATGATAGAAGGTGGCATATTGATGGGGGGGTTGGGTAGTTTTTTTCCCTCTCAATATCAACCTCCCCCTCCCCATTCTTTTTGTGGCCAGGCCGTGCACACCTGTCCGTTTTCATTACGCGGCAAGCAAGAAATTGCCAAAGCCATTTTCGAAAATGGCCGCAAACATGGAGGAGGTGGCTAAAAATGAGCCAAGTGGGTGGGAGATGGGTGGTATAGGCGGTGGTGGGTGGTGGGTGTTGGGTGATGCTAGGACATCGTCATAACTTGAAATTGAAATGGGCATTGGGTGGGGGTGTCCTGCCTAACGATCCAATCACGCGACCATATCTAAGCCAGGCTCCCCCAGAAAATCATTTCGGATCTGGATTTATTGCACTCCCCACTCAGAAACCAGAATCCCGCTAATGTTCGCGCTGAAAAGCTCTCAGGAAAAATCAAAAAAAAAAAAAAAAAACAAAAAACGACAACAAGAAAAGAAGGAAAGTAAGGGAAAGCGAGGGCGGCGGTGCTATAAGATATCCAAAGGCGGCACCGCAAAATGTTTTTGGCCAATTGGCCACAAGCGGCTCGGGCATCAGGTGCGCATTATGTCAGGAATATGAAATATGATAACAACAAAACAAAATAAATATAAATAAAAATTTACAACAATCGAAAGGAGAGGCCAGGCCGCAGACAAGCCAATAATAAATAAAAATAATGCCATAAAATATACTTCCAAAGTAGAGAAAAGTAGCCAACGAGAAGGTTGGGCGCCAAAAAAAAAAAACAACAACAACAAGGAATCCCAATTGAAATATTTAAATTTTGTTTCACATTAAGGACATGTATTTATGGGGAAGTTCGGGCGAAGAAATAAAGCGGAAAATAAATGACAAATTGAAAAAGAACATGGGGGGAAAAAGGGGAAAAGCGTTTCGTAAAGGGAATTGGTTGGGATAAAATGGAGTCGGGGCATCATGGGAAAATCTCTGGGGTTCTTAAAAAATCATCAAGACTTGAAGTGACTTGAACCAAAATTTAAAGATATTTCCTTTAAAGAACAGAGTGGGTTCTCATATGATATACTTTATTAATAGAAATATAGTTTATTTTTTTTTTATAATTTCTTTTATATAATATACTAGAGGTCCTGTGTCCGCTTCGCTGGTCAACACAATTTAACAACATAAAAGTCAATGTTGCAACATTTTTCAAATATATGGAAGTATAGAAAGATGGTGATTTAACACTTTTCCAGTTTGACTTTTCCACTTGCGCAGCACAATCCAGCCGTTTCTCTTTTAAACTTTAACGCACTGCAATATCGGTATATAGTCGCCATTGGTCCAATATCTAAATTTTCATTATCACTGTAGTTCGCAGTGGGGTCATATTGGAATGCCAAGCGATTGAATGATGCCAATGATCTCCATGTGCTCATTTGTCTTTCTTCGCTTAAGTTTGGTGAATATACTTGTTGCTGGCTTGGATGTCTGCGGCCAATGTTTGCACGTCGTCCTCTAAGCATTTTGGACTATGGACAGAGTGGTAAATTTATCCTCAAATGCACGATCCACATAATTTTCACAGTTCAACTTAAATTGAATAAAAATTGTTTTTTTTCACAATTTCACAGTGAACACAAAAATTGAGTTAAAATGCTATGGGAGCGTGTTTGTCAGTGTGATGAGGTAGCACCTCACTTTATATGCGACAATATTGCAATTTTCTTACGGATCCCTAATTTTTTTCAAAATAAATTATAGCCTATTTAACTCCACGATAATATAGCTTTCTATCAGTGAAAGAATTTTTTAAATCGGACCAGTAGTTCCGGAGCCTATTCGCTGCAAACAAACAAACAAACAAACAAACAAACAAACAAATTTTACCTCTTTATAATATTAGTATAGATATTATATATTATTATAAATGAATTTCCAAAATACACATGAACATCAGGCCATTTCTTTAATGTGTTTTATTTTAAAACTTTTGCTTTAATTTAACTGCGCTCAAAGGCAAAGGAATACAGCTCTCATTTTTGCGTCGCCAAAATTGAAATATTCAATTGGCAACAAAAAATTCCGACCAATTTCCCATTCTCGGTTTCTGCCGCGTTTTTTTTTCTTTGACCTTCTGCCATTGTCAACTAAATGTTGATGGAGGTTGATACGTCACCGAGCCCCGCCCCTCGAACACCGCCCCTCGGCCCCTCGACCCCGCGGAGCTTTGAGTTTTCCTCCAGCTGGGCAGCAGCAACTAGTCAGCAATTTTTCCAACCGCCCCCATTTTTCCCATCTTCACTTTTTCCCGGTTCTCACCTTGATTCATCATTGTTTCGTGTGTTCTGGCTTTGATATGCTTTCATTGCGAGATTTGCGATTTGCGCACGGCAGAAAATAGGGGACTTTGTATGGGGATGGGGATGGGGATGGAGGTTGTAGGTGGGAAGTGGGAGGTGGGAGATGGAGGAGATGGTTTTGTTGGTTCTGCTTTTGACAAATCGGGGCTAAAAAATTCAATGGCTTTCCAACGTTTTTGCATGCACCGACAGGAGATAAAAAGGTGCCACAGAAGTTAAGAAACGTTGTGGATTTACAGAGGAAAATACATTTCAAAATGTTCCCATCACTTTTCGTTTTCCTAAGATTCTTATTAAGATTTCGCTTGCTTTGTAAGTATTTTTAGATATTTGCAATAATCTTTTTTACAGATCTTTTTGGCAAAAAGCATTCATTCCTACCTAAAAATACGGCTTAGGT